TTTTTATTAGACCTTGTCTGTTTTAACAAGCGGGAAATGATAGTCAGTATTTCTGTTGGACCTCGTCTGTTTTAACAGGCGGGAAATGATAGTCAGTATTTTTATTAGACCTTGTCTGTTTTAACAAGCGGGAAATGATAGTCAGTATTTCTATTGGACCTCGTGTGTTTTAACAGGCGGGAAATGATAGTCAATATTTCTATCAGGCCTTGTTTTCACCTGCAAGTTAAGCTTTAGATTGAGAGCAGCTACCTGAAATAAACTATTTTATCAAAAACCTTTACTTATCATTTTTAAACTATAACAGGTGAATGAAAGTGTCAGCAACTGACAACACGAAACAAGGGTACCTGAGTTACGATACTGTGGTAAGTCACCGAATAACTGTTACCTGTCAAGTGCATCTTTCTATATTTGAGAATCTCCACTCATAACATGATGTATCAGCATTATTATCAATCGCAAAGGAAGAGAAAGGAGAGGTAGCAGATTACCTTAGTCACGTGGTCTCTGCCAGCTCCAACATCACAACTGCGTTATTACATTGAGTTAATAGGCACCTTGATCATCAATAAGGAATGAGATAATACGACGTGCCTACTCACTATCCAGTTATTTATCAAAGCTCCCCTTGAAGTTCGACCAACGTAAAACCGGGCTCTCTCGGAACACAACCGGGCACACAAATAATGCGTCGGCGCTTATTGTAAAGGTTGATGGACGTAATGAGCGTTTGGAAAGGCTACTAGCTCGATGCTCATCATGCCAGTGAGAATATGGCATCTGGTAAGGTTTTTCTATCTCAGATTCTCCTCTCTATATCTCCTGATGACTGTGGCGATGTGCTGTATGGTAACCATTGTTCATCTCTTTCTTTTTGTGATACGTCCTAGCCTGTTCAGCTCTGGCAAACCACTGGGCGTGTTTCATTATATTCGTTTAAGAATAAAATTTTACTTATATATTGCTTAGACAACTACACGCTAAGCACGGGCAATGAGTAAGAACAAATACGAAGGTTTTTGTAAGACGGAATTTTACTGCACATAAACCCGTGTGGTAGCGGCTTAGTGGTTGAAAGACAAATAAAGGAGAGCCTTGGAAATAAACAAAATACTTCTATAAATTATGTAGGCTTATAAAAGTTTAAATGTTATGAAGAAAAGCGTTAGGTTGTATTATGAAGATCATCTCAAAACTTTTTCCGTCGAATTTGAACATTTTATTTTTGAACAACACAGTTCACAATCTAGAGAAAAAAACTTCAAAAAAATCAATGAAATATTTATGAAAATACAAGTTATTTCAGTTAGCTTTTAACATAGTTCTAACAGGATTTAGAGACTAGTACAGTGGTTCCCAACCTTTTCTCCACCAAGGACCCCTTTTATTATCATCCCCCCCCCACAGACCCCATGTTTTTGAAAGATTCCGCCTAACAAACAAACTGTTTTTATTAACTAATAATTAACTCGTTCTCCCACTTTTCACTATCAAATAAAAAACATATATAACTGAGTGTGCAATTAAAAAAACATCAATATTAAAAAACTCACTACGCGGACTCCCAGGTTGGGAACCACTGGACCAGTACAACGTAAAATAGAACCATTGCTTCTATAAACACAAACAGTTAATATACTTTTCAATCATCATCGCCCATGTTTTCACTCGTGAACATTCTATCCGAGAAAGGCTGCTAACGTCGTAAAAAAAGTTATATTAAATTCCGGAAATGCTCTAGTTTCTCCCATCACTGATAGATAAAAAAAAATAGTGTTTATTTCACTTTTGCATCTGTTATCATTCTCAAGCTGTCAAGTCATGTTTTACTCATTATTAGTTCCTTCATCTGATTGGCTCAAAATACCATCTCTTGTTTTTGTTAACAAGAAATTTGTGTCGCATCACTGACTTTTCTACAAACATGTCCGACGGAACAAGCAAGATGATATATATTCGATAATCCAAAAACTAAAATCGTAATGAGTAATCTCGAATAAACGAATACACTTGAGAAATGTTCACATTGGCGTCTTTATGCTTAATATTTCATTTCAATTCATGAGAAATGTAAATATTGTCATCTTTATATCTAATATTTCATTGGAATTCGTAAGAATTGTAGACATTGGCTTCTTAATACTTAATATTTCATTAAAATTCCTGAAAAATTTAAGCATTGGCGTATTGATACTTAATATTTCTCTGTGATTCCTGAGAAGCGTAGACGCTAGCGTCTTAATATTTAACATTTCACTAAAATTCCTGAGAAGTGTATATATTGGCGTCTTAATACTTAATATTTCACTGAAATTGGAAGTTCTTGTCCAGTGTACAACAATTTGACCATCATAATCTCCTCCTCTAAGAACAAGTGAAAACAATAATAGTGTCAAGCAGAAGCTGCGTGATTCGAGATTCGAATCTGGCATCAACACTTGAATATACAACTGATGTACCTTCTCGTGTTTTAAGTGCTGACAACGAATGCGAACAAAACAATGGCGTTCAACCAACGGAATATTTCTCTTTTTAGATAAAAGGTAGCGCTGTTGAGTCGATTCGTTGAGGTTTAACGAGCATTTTTCGGATAGCCTAACTTTATAAATATTAGAAATGCATGTCATAAAAATTCATAACACAGATACAAAACAAACTGAGCTCATTCCAACATTTATGTTACTTTGTTAAACCTAAGTTTATTGCCAACATAATTACGTGTATCAGTGACGTTAGGTCAATTATCCATTTAACTTCTGTAGAATTGCATATAACACACATATGTGAAATGTTAACACGATGTATGTAGTATTGAAGCTTTTAGCTTAATTTTCTTGACAATAAAATGTTCAACCTTCCAAATAAAGTGTCTCCAGATGTATTTCCAACCCCTGATTTTCTGCTTCTTATATATATTTATTGATACTGTTTTATCAAATCAAAACCTCTTGAACACATTTTATTGAAATCCCAGCTTGTTTGTTTGTTTATTTATTTCTTCATGGAAAAACAAACTTAAACAATCTGGACAAACAGAAAAGTATACCATCGTTGGTACAAATGCTTGATCTTACTGTCAGGATTCGAACTTAACATGGATGAACTATTTTAACGCCAGCCTGTTGAATTAATGCAAGGACCTTTTTGTTGTAAGACTTTCCACAGTAGACTGAATGGTGACTTTCTTACAAATCAATCTTCTTCTTTTTTTTATGAGGAGGGGGGGGTAACATTTTTTAGCGTATTTGTATTGGCCACATAACAAACAAATCGGTAACTCCTCACACAAAAACCTTAACTTAAAACTATTAGAAAAGATTACAAGCGATTTGTTTTTTGTTTTTTGTTTACATTTAACTATTTTGTGTGAAATTCAAAACACTGCTCAGGATTACTGATTTGTTATCTAAACACCAAGTTTCGATTAATCCTTATTAGCTCTCTTTACGCTTTCTTTCAATATCAAGCCAAAATTTACACACGTATTTTATATACGGAAGGGTTAGGTACGGTCACTTAATTGGTCATTTTATTTGTTTCGTTTAAATGCAAAGCTGCACAGTGGTCTATGTATACCGTGTTTACCAAAGGGACAAAACCGATGATTTCAGCGTTAAAGGCCATCAAGCTTACTGCTCAGCCACCGAAGTGCTAGTTGGTCAGGGTATCCAATAAACGCGAGTGATTTTTCACTAGAATCAGCTACTCCGTGTATTCGTGAATGTAGCTAACCAGATAGACAGTATTTTTAAACAATTGATATTTGCAACGTGTTTAAAGATGTGGTTCTGGCTTTTTTTTGTCATATCAAAGTTGTATAGTGTTAGAAGTAAAAAAGAGCAAATAGTTAAACTGTACAAAACAATATCACAGAACTACAGTAAGCCTAGAAATAAATGGAATATTTTCCTTTACGTCGTTTGTTAAACTTGTTTATTTGTTTTTTAAGTTAGGATTATGTTAATTAATTTACATAGCATAATTTACGTATTGTTAATGTTTACAGATTTATCTATTTCAAGAACGATAAAACAGTTTTGGAGAAAAGTTCAGCACCATATTTATTTCTGATTGCTCTCTTCTAGCCTACGTTATCTGTGCGTATTCATTTTAACCTCGTCTCTCTCTCCAGCTTTATGTTCTTATTTGAGAATTTCTTTGCTATGGAAAGGTAAAAAAAAAAAAACAGCAGTAAAGCTCGTCTGATACTCTCATCCAACATACCAAGTCTAGTACGGTTGCGTCGATACTAGCGTGGGCCAAGAGACCTTCGGTGGTTGGCGAATCGATGTCTGCGTGCGCTTTACCCCAATTCTGACGCGTGCGAGATACGTTGTCAAATCCTGCGCGAGTGTGCCGTATTAGCATAATAGTAAAGTTGCTATGGCAACCATTATGTCAAACTAACGTGCACATAAGCTAAAGACGTGCTGACCTCTGTGGAGAACACGATTCGGAAGCGAAGCCAGCAAGTCTGGTGGTTGTCTACCGAAATCTCTATTCACTGGTAGAAGAAGTGTACTATTTATACTAGCCTCTTCTAAACTTCGTTACATTATCGCATATAACTGAATTCAGACTGTTAAAGAGATGCAGAAGTCCACTTATCTTTACTCAGTTTCTATCAGTTCATCGATTTGGTGTTGTTCTCTCGTCTATCCCACACATCAGGCTGGGCTGGTGGAGACAGACTGTCTGAAAAACAAACAGACAGATGAGAAACGAAGCAATTCTGCTTTTGAAGGAAGAGAACAGGAAGAGAAACTATAGAAATCACTTGAAGAACGAGAACGGGAAGAGAAGCTATAGAAGTAACTTGAAGAAAGAGAACGGGAAGAGAAGCTATAGAAATAACTTGAAGAAAGAGAACGGGAAGAGAAGCTATAGAAATCACTTGAAGAAAGAGAACGGAAAGAGAAGCTATAGAAATCACTTGAAGAAAGAGAACGGGAAGAGAAGCTATAGAAATCACTTGAAGAAAGAGAACGGGAAGAGAAGCTATAGAAATCACTTGAAGAAAGAGAACGGGAAGAGAAGCTATAGAAATCATTTGAAGAAAGAGAACGGGAAGAGAAGCTATAGAAATCACGAACTTTGCTTAACCTGTCCTCTTTACAGACCTTCAAAACTACAAGCACTATTAAAAGGCTTCGCAAATCTTAAAATTCAGAAGGGTGAGTACACTTTCTGTACAGGAATAAGTTAACCACCTTTTTCATAAAGAATTTTTTAAATCTTTCTTTTAAGAGAGTAAAAAAAACATTTTTCTCAACTAATCACCTTATACTCACGTTTCTAAAGCTCTTTTTCATAAAAAATGATAAATTATTCAAATTCTTAGGGAGCATTTATCTATATTTTCCTGATAAGCTGGCCTAAACGGTCTGAATGACTTTTCGTGCGACCTGCTTGTAAAAAAAAATGAAGATATTTTTAAATATAAATTTACATGAGGTTTTTATTGCCGTTTTGTTAACTCACCAAAAGGTTCAAGACAGCAGTGGTTATAAATGCAAGATGTTGTTTTTTGGTCTAACATATGGTATTGTTGTCTGGCATAAAAAACATTTTTATATAATAAGTTACAAAATATATTTATATACTATTTTTACATTTGATTTTTGCGATGTGTAAATACAAATACTTCAAAATCAATAAATTAATATTAATTTTCCTGATAATATTTTATTTAACTACTTACTTTTTGTTTAATATTCAAAAGTACTTGTTAACTATCTTGTCTCTACTTGTTTAGAAGGTGTTTCAAAACCAATATATTATGCTGAAGAAGATTGTATAGTTACAAATTTTTAAAACAAACTCCAAGATTTTGCGAATAATTGCTCAACAGTGTGAAGTTGTATTTTGCATATTTAAACGTTCGAGATATAAAACCATTATTTTGCTTAGATTCTAATAAACCAAGTCGAAATCCTTTTCAAAAAATTAATATTAGTTTTATCTAACAAGCATTATAGTTGTCTGGCTCACAGTGTGTGATGGCGAAGACGGAAAACCACATTGATTGGACAACCTGGCTCAGCAGTCCCATCTAGTGTTGAGCTTACTGCAACCAGCCACAACAACATCATTTGCGCATGTGTGGTTATGATATGCGGCAGCCATTCTAAGGCCGGCAGCTGTAGATCGAAAACGAGAAATCTCTGTGGTCAGACAGTTCAATTTATTATAGTTTGTTTGTTTTATTTTTTAATTAATTTTGAAATATGTAAAAACAAAAAATATATACCTAAAGTACTTCTAAAATTCTCTGTATACATCCAGCTTATCTTATGTGTATTTGGATTTTCATAATGCCATTTTTTTTGCTTCCCTTTTTTCATTTATAGTCACAACATAAGAATAGATAATATCATATTAGAGACATCTTTGATAATTACAGGTTATTTTGTAAGAATTATTTAAATATTTCAAGTTATGAGACTCAAATATACTACTAATTAAATATTCAAAATGTTAAGGAACATATAGGGTAAAAATAAATATATAAATCGCAAAACAAGATGTAGTAATTCTTTAAGCTATATTTTATACCTTAATTGCCATATTTTATAGTCTACGGACCTCTTCAGTTCATTAAATATTTTAGAAATAAACAAAAAATATTATACTGCAGTTTACCGATGAAGATTTTTATTGAATGTATTTGGCCAATTTTGTATTTAATTTATGCAAACAATTTTTTTCCTGGAAGGTTTTTCTACTAATTTGAAATTTTTGCAAAATAATAATTATGTCTTTAATGCCCCTATTGGCTCAACGATAAGTCTGAGAGCTTATAACGTTCAAAACAGAGTATCAATATCCACGGTGGGCAGATTGCGTAGCTTTGCGCTTAAAACAGTTCGTTTTTGTTTGTTTGTTTTTTCAGCTCGTAAACTTGGCCCGGCATGGCCAGATGGTTAAGGCACTCGACTTGCAATCTGAGGGGTCGCGGGTTCGAATCCCCGTCCCACCAAACATGTTCGCTCTTTCAGCCGTGGAGGCGTTATAATGTGACGGTCAATCCCACTATTCGTTGGTAAATGAGTAGCCCAAGAGTTGGCGGTGGGTGGTGATGACTAGCTGCCTTCCCTCTAGTCTTACACTGCTAAATTAGGGACGGCTAGCGCAGATAGCCCTCTTGTAGCTTTGCGCGAAATTCAAAAACAAACAAACAAACTTTTTAACAATTAACTGTCAAAAGGATATCGTTTGTCACACAAGACCTTAACTGACCTGCCAAACATCAATAATCCTACAATAACGTAAGAGAAGTTTGTTTGTCCTCTAATTCTTTCTAGACTTTTGCATCTGGACCAATCGAATACGGTTTAATGAACTGGGAATGATTTGGAACGTGTCAATAAGAAGTTATCTTTCTTTTAAAATACCTATGTTTCATAGCCTTAGCGGTGGCTAAATTCAGATCAGTCGGTGGGGGGTGGCCACTAGAGTATTGATGGGATTTATGTAGTTTCCTCTTTCATTATATGGGGTATAGGGACAGTCTATGTAGTTTCATTCATTAATAGTTTAGTTAGGACAAAAACAGAAACATTATTTATATTTATAATTGGTAAAACATTAATTCTTTCATAACTTTCATAAATCTCTCACCGTGCATAGCACGGGTACATCTGCTAGTATGTCAAATAAACCATTCAATGAGCACTTTAAAACCAAGATCCTAACAGATAAACATTGTTTGCTTATCCCTATAGAATACAGGGACAGGGAGCACTTTCAAACCAAGATCCTAACAGATAAACATTGTTTGCTTATCCCTATAGAATACAGGGACAGGGAGCACTTTCAAATCAAGATCCTAACAGATAAACATTGTTTGCTTATCCCTATAGAATACAGGGACAGGGAGCACTTTCAAATCAAGATCCTAACAGATAAACATTGTTTGCTTATCCCTATAGAATACAGGGACAGGGAGGGGAGGTGAAGAAAAGGGTCTTTAACTGAAATCAGGAATATCGAAAAGAGATTTTCCATTAGAAAAGTCAAACCTTGCTGTGTTGGTTTGGAGTAAATATAACTCAATTGACGTTCATGATGAACACTTAACACTGTTCAATATTTCACATTTCTGTAGTTGATATGTATAATGAATTCGTGAATTACAAGAGTAGATTTCTGTATATGAATGTAGAATTCTCCCACGTGAGTCATTTCTTTTCAAAATCATAGAGGCATTGAAAGTAGTTCAGAGAAGTTCGTTACCAAACTCAGTGAATCTTGTCAACACAACTTCTTGTTAAGGGCGTCATACTGAAATAAAAGTTATCTATATACAAATGTGTGTCTATAGAATGTTAAAGACAATGCAGTTTAAAACTCCAAATGTAGAAGAGCGATTTGGTAACACGAAATATCCAATGCTGGAAAAAATACGCAAACCAGCAGCTCAATTCAGTAGCATAAATACGTTTGTACAAAATAATAATAGTTATATATCTGTTCTGTGGCGGTAATAAAGACAAGGGTAAAAAAAAAGACAACGGAAAAAAATAATCGCAAAAAAGGACTACGAAAGTTACACAAACAGATAAAAAAAGTCCTATATGTTAGGAGTTGTATAAAATAACATGTTCCGAAATCATAATTTCACTTTTCCATTATCACATATATACGTAAACCTTGTTGTGAGTTAATAGTCCATAAATATGTGCCCCATAGTGGGCAGAGCACAGATGGTCCATTGTGTAGCTTTGTGCATAACTTCAAACAAAACAAAAACTGTAAATATGTTATAGTTGCTAGGGTTAGATGTTATTGATACTGTTTTCTAAAACACTTTTTTTTACCAGTTTGTTTGATTTTTTTTGTCATTTTTTCTGACTGACTTTTTTTTCCATTGTTTTTTTTTTCGTTGTGTTTTTTACCTTTGTCTATATTACCTAGATTCATGCCTGCTATTTCCGCATTATTTTCTTCTATTATAATACATTCTTCTACTCCGAACCTTTATTTTGCACCTCGGTTTATTTGTCCGACCTACATGTGCGGGCACTGTTTGGTTGATTGAAAAACAAAATTGCTGTAAGTATATTAAGATGTTATTTTGTTATGATAATTTGTTAAGGTTAATTATTTTACGTAATAGTTATGTTTTGTAACTAACGTATAACACTGCTCTTGTAACTTCTGGAAATTTGACGTAATTCTCCAAAAGTATGGGTAGAAATTAATCTATAATTTTATCAAAAAAAGAGTGTGTTTTCACAGAAGACAGAGTGTTGGGAAAAGATTCAAGTGTTTATCTCGGATAAAGAAGTCGGAACGTTATATTTGGATCTATTGTCGTTCCCAATTATTTCAGTTTTCATCTAAATTCAAGATGTATATATATCCATATGTTTTTCTGTTTACCAGTTTCAATCCCGTGACCTGTTCATTATTAATAATGGGCTTAGATCTGGAGCACATACATTTCTTATTTCTCGTGAAGCCTATTCAGTCACAAACGTCTATAGCAGCTGCACGTTTATAAAAACTACAACTATCAATAGAGTATTTGATCTCTTAGCTTAGTGTATAAGTATTATTTTACTGCAGTATTTCCGGGTCGACGCACAGAACTTCAACCACTAATTGCAACGGGTTTCGAACCTACATTACTCTCTTCTCCAGTTTACATTGCACTGGAATTTTAGTTCATCCTTGCTTTGACGTCCCATGCATAATTCTCAAGCATCTTTCTCCTCTGGCTTACCATTCTGAGGCATAAGAGTTATAGATCCCCGTAACCTCGTCTGTTGGTTTTGAGTAATGAATTCTCGATGTTTATCGGTCTAGCTTCCCTACGAGAATCGCCTTCGCTTTGCGAATTTAGCCTCATCCAAGTGGACAGCCGATGTTAATAGCTTCTCTTTTCATCTTAATCAGTTTAAATATTTACCTCTTTTAGTGTTTTAAAGTCCACCATATACGGAGCGAAGAGAAATACAATCATTCCTGAACACGCCAATTGGGAAGAGATCGCAAATTCTCCAGGATTCTGTGATCCCATTCTCCAAACTAGATACCTGTTACGTCAAAGAAAAAAAAACACCTACCATATAAACTTGGCTAATCATATATATTAACTCTGGAAACAATATAAGTTTACCTCAAGTGTAAGTAAAGTAAGATAATCAGATGGTATAATGAGTGATAAGTTTACCTCAAGTGTAAATAAGGTAAGATAATCAGATGGTAAAATGCCGTGATACGAATCTTCAAAGAGGGATCAGCACATTGCCCGTTATCCAGCTGAGCCTCAGATAAAGTGCTTATATGTAGAGAGGCAAAGGGTAATAGGCCACGAATTAAAAATTGCATGTTTTAGGTATTTTGTGCATTATACGTTTTACGATCTCTGGATAATTAACGTTGAATGCTGGTTGCTTAGTGCAAAGTTACACAATGGGCCATCTGTGCTTTGTCAATCGCGAGGAATTGAACCCCGGATTTTTACGTTGTACGTTCGTAATCTTACCGCTGACCCACCTGAGGTCATTTAAAGTTTGCCAAGAATAGACTTTTGACTGTATAAAAACTACAAACCGAATACAAGAAGGCCGGATTCTTGTGTTGTATTTTATTTTAGTTTCAAAGATAGGTCACAAGACATGTGACAGAGAGCCTAAATAAAAGAGGAAGAGAGGTTAATGAGATTCATATACACGTACATCATGCATAACAAGATTAAATTATACATTCCAGATACTGTTTAGTTACTTGCTTCTGTAATTATATTTGCTAGCTTAGTATCGTTGCCTCTTTTCATACATCTTGGTCGACTTATTTCTAGCTTTAAAAAAAACAACAACAAAAACTGTTTCTATTTCTATACTTAACATGTAAAACATGCCTTCTGGGTGTCACACGAACAAGAGCGTACCAAAAGGAGTAAGCATGATCTTCCATTCTGTAAACGAGGTCATATTTGTCATAAATTCCGCTTCACTTCTGTTTAACAAGTTTCCATGGCATCCAACCATATATTATTCAGATTAATGTACGCGCACCCTTTAGTTAATGAGTCAAGGACATTCCTGCTGTGAGGTATAACACAAATACCAATAACTTGAATAATCATTAATTTTAAGTTCACAACTGTTTACCCTTGAAAACTCACGTTGATAAACTTTGTTATTGATGAAAACGTATCATATCACTATAGGAAATAGTGGTCTATATTACTCGCAACGTTTCATTTAATTATATAAATATAGTAAACAAACGTTATGTTTACCGTAAAACCTATCATGACTCCACAGCGACAATCGAAATAAAGACTTGTTTTGATCCGGTTGTTGCTGCCCAATGGGCTGTCTGTGCTCTGCTCACCATGAGTATCGAAACCCAAATTTTAGCGTCTTAAACCTGCAGACTTTCCGCTGAGCCACTGAGAGGAACCGAACTAAAGTAAGTAAACTTAAATTTTTGTTTAGAAGGTTTGGATTTTGAGCTCCTAGTAGTTCTTAGAAATCAGATTTATATATAATTTCGCCCCCCAGTGGCACAGTGGTATGTATGCGGATTTACAGCGCTAGAATCCGGGTTTCGATACCCGTGGTGGTCAGAGAACAGATAGCCCATTGTGTAGCTTTGTGCTTAATTACAATCAAACAAACATATCTAATTTCTAATGCAATTGAACTACCTGGTGACTTCGACTAACGTCGTTAGTTTACGTCAGAGGATTGCATGGACTTATGCCGAATGCTACAGCTGATTTTTTTTCTACTTATTTTTTGATGTGATGAATTTTTAAAATAAATTTCATTCCACAGTACCGAAAGATGATAACTTGTACAAGTACTTTGTGATGAACAGCATTGTATTAGATTACAAAATAATTCAGGTAAACGATAAATAATGCTTTGATAGGTTGTTTAGGCAGAG